GATATTAAAATCTGACAAATACATTATAAGAAAGAAGAATTAAAGCCAGATGTACATATATATTACAGTCACTTTTAGATAAATTATATATTTCACAATTTAAAATCTTAAAGACTATAAACAGAAAATTACTTAGAAATGAATATATGAACTTCCAGGTTAAAAGAATTCATCAAATATCCCCCTCATGTTAGAAAAGAGGAAATGATAGGATAAGCAAATAGCTGCTATAGAGTGAATTAAATGGGATTACTAAGATTAACAAAACGTTTCACAGATATTGAATTATAATCTAAAATAACACCATAAAGTCTCTAAGACTGTCAAAATTATTCCAATACCCAAAGCCAGCCTGGTATGTGGAAATCAATTTGTGCAATATGGAAGAGACTTAGATGTTCACATCTGTGCTGTCAATCTAAATAACAATCAGAGGGAGATTCTCCAAAGTATAATATTTATGTGGGAGTAGAACAGCATTTCAGGAGGGAGGAGGGAGGAGCATGGGAAGAACATGTCATCACAATGGGAATACACATGCCATAGTAAACTATGTGCATGTTCAAAGAAGTTGAGGCAAGGGGAAATTTTTAAAGGCAAATATGAGAATAATTGCACAAGGTATTTTGAAAAAATAGACCTTGGCCACAAGGATTAATAACAAGAGTGGTGCCAGTCCCAAAGTTGAGTAGACAGTTGATGGGTAGATATCCTCATAGAAGTGTGTGTGTGTATGTTTGTGTGTGGTGTGTGTAATGTTGCAGTGACCCCTGTGCAAGAATGTGGTTCTGAGAGTCTTTGTGAGTTACTATCAGGCAGTCATGCATGAGAACACTTCTTTCATCACCTTTCRGCGTTATGTATTTATTTTTTGGTCAGGGTTGGCAGAAATTACTCCATTTTGATTCTCACAACTTTTGCAATTCTTTTCATTACATCAGCACTGGCAAGCATCTTTTGAAAATTCGAAAATAAAGAGGATTTCAAGAAATGGGAAAATATCTCATGTTCATAGATCAGAAGATTTAATCTTGGTAAGATGACAATACTATCCAAAGCCATCTATAGATTCAATGCCATTTTATCAAAAGCCTCCTGACTTTTTTGTTTGCTTTGCAGACATGGAAAAATCCATCCTAAAACATACAATTGATCAACAAATATATGAAAAAATAGTCAACATCTTTAACAGTTAGAGAAATGTAAATCAAAACTACTCTAAGAGTTCACCTCACCGCAGTTGGAACGACAATTATCAAAAACACAAGTAACAATAAATGTTGGCTAGGATGTGGGGAAAAAAGGCACACTCATACATTGCTGGTGGGACTGAAAACTGGTGCAAGCCCTCTGGAGAGCAGTATGGAGATTCCTTAGAATATTTGGAACAGAACCACCATTCGACCCAGTTATCCCACTCCTTGGTATATAGCCAGGGGACTTAAAAGCAGCATATTACAATGATGCAGAGAGGAATTTAGGGATACAAAGAAAGATATACTGACTATCAAAAGAGAAATACCCATAAATTTTTGGAATGCAAAACAGGCAACTTGTACACAACCTGGCCCTTGCCCTTGGTCTACATCCTTGCCAGCAAAAAGTAATATGATGAGAAGGCAATGAGCAAGTGCTAGAAAAACGGGGAAGAAATTAGGTTACTACTCTAACTCCACCTCTAATCCAGCTCCTAGCTTCTATCCCTCTATAAATATTAACACTCCAGAAAAGGGGCTGCTGTCTCTCTGGAGATAGCCTACTCTTTTAAATATTTACTTTTTCCTTTATCCCATAAAACATTTCTCTGGAGATACTGCATTCTCCTTTGAATGTGTCTGCTTTCCTTGATTTGTCTTGATTGGCACATGCTGGAATTATTTTTTGTCACATAAGCTAGGGACTCCATTTGTCCAGAATGGAGGTCCCTCTCTCTGGGAAAAAAAACAAAAAAAAACACAGTGACATTTCCAGTTGTGATTTCCTGAGCAATATTAAATGTCCTTTGTATGTTAATGAGATTCATAGTAAGGCTCCCTAGTTTCAGAATAGGAACAGGTTATTAAAAAAAATACATGATTAAAGGATTAGAACTCTCCTCCTCACCCTGACCTAAGGTGGAAGAGAGGGTCTAGAGATTTGAATTCAATAACCAGTGGCTATCAATGATTTAATGAGTCATACCTGCATGCTTCCAGAAGCTCTTGGGTTAGTGAGCACATGGATACGTTAAGAGAGAATACGGAAGCTCTGCAGGGCATTCCCATACCTTGTTCTCTTCCATTTTGATTGCTCCCGAGTTGTGTCCTTTGTAATAAAATTTGAATAGCCTCTTCTTGAATTCTGTTATTGTAATGAATTATCAAAACTGAGGGGGGAAATCAGAACCCTTCAAATTGGTGTGAGCCAGGTAGAAGTGGGGTAGGCTGGCATCTGAAATGACAGCGATCTTGGGAGACTGAGCCTTCACTCTGCGGGGTCTAACACTCAGGAGTTAATGTCAAAATTGAATTAATTTGTAGGCCCCCCCAGTTGGTGTTAGAGAATTGTTGCTGAAATGATGTAATTGTTTCAGAAAAAAAACATCAAACAATAATGCTAAGTAAAATAAGCTAGAACCAAAGAGCAAATAGTGGTTGACTCCACTTACATGAGGTACCCAGAGTAGGTAAATGCATTCAGACAGAAAGCAGAACAGACGTTATCAGGGTCTGAGAAGGAATGGAAAATCATTGTTAAACGGGTAGTGTACTGGGGATGATGAAGTTCTGGTGATGGACTCCCAACAGTGTAAATGTGATAAGGAACATAAAGATCATACCTGAGACTGTGTTTTGTCTTGACTCTTGTGTCTTCGCATGAAAGGAATTCAAGCAAGACATGAGAATTAGTAGTAAAAGTATAGCAAAGTTTATTAGAAGAGAAAAAAGATGAGGAAGCACCCTCAAGGAAGAGAGTGGGCTACTCAGAGAAGAGAGCAAAGCTCACTTGTGTCCCAGCTTTTTGGGGAGACAGGAAGGAGGTCCCATGCCAGTGTCACTTTTTGGTTCTAGATTGAGACATTATATGAGCTAACCACCTAAGGGCAACTCTTGGTCATCTTGGCCTGGCTGACAGGTTCTAGAATTTATGGTCTTAATAATCCTGCTTTCTCAGGTCCAGGAATCTCTCTGGTACTTACTATTTGTTTAGGGACTTTAAGATGTCTTAGCAATTAGGTCCWTTTGATCAAACATATCCTTGCCCTTTGGTTCTTACTCCCTGAATTTATCTATTTTCCTCCAATTATAAGAGGAATAGTTTATAGAACTGAGATCAGGCAAGGGTCCTTAAATAGCTATCTTTTCAGACCTTGCAGTGCCACTTAGGCAGGACTATTGATAAACCAACTTGTTCTGTACCAAGTATTATATTCCACTGCTCATATCTAACTGCCAACTAACAAATGTACTTAATGCCAGTGAAGAGTACACTTAAAAGAGGTTAAGATGGTAAATTTAATGTTATGTATATTTTTCAARAAAATATTTTTGAAAAATACCCGTACAAATATAAAAACACATCCCACTTTTAGTGAATTATAAGTAAATGCTATRAACATCACGCAAGTGTCTCACATTTAAATCACTTAAAACGTATACATAAGCTCTGAATACAAGATGAATCCCCGGAGTCCAGTCTGTAATGAGTGTGGAAAGGGTGGGACAGAAATTGGAAAGTTCTTTATAGGCTGCCAACTAATAAATGTAGAATAAGAGTATGAAAATCACACACTTGAACCCCCAGAGTAATAATTTTATTCGGACAAAAATTGATTCAAAGGATGCTAAAAGTTGTGTCAATGTTTGATGAGGAACAGATATGTGTATAATCTCAAGGTGTTTGTCCATATACTTACTCATCACAAAGAGAAAAAAACTGCTTCACAAGGAACTGATACATAATGTCTTAACCAAACATGTTGACACAAACCAACTCATGCCTCCAAATGTGACACCTTGAAGAAAGCCACAGTATCATTTATGCTGTATTTATGGATTAATACATGACTTGAAGCAAAGCAAAACATTCAGGCAAAAACAAATTCAGGACTTGTCTATCAAATAAATGTCCCCACCTTTCTAAAAATCTGTTATCATTAAAGATAAAGCAGGGCTTTTTCTTGAAAAAYCACTCCAGACTAGATGACTAAAGAGATAGAAAAATTAAATGCAGTRTGTGATCCTGCTATAAAAATGGGTCAAGAAGAAAAACTGATATCAATGATATTACTGAGAAAACTGGCAAAATTTAAATATGTAAATTTTTAAATATGTAAATTAGACTGTAGTATGATTATAGTGGTATATCAGGGATAAATTTCCTGGTCTTTATAACTATGAATGAACACTGCTTGAACACACTTCAAGCCAAAATAGACCTCCTTTCAATTATTACTAATATTTCTATGTTTAGTCATATTCCTGATTCTTATAAATGGGGTTTAAATTCAAGTAGCACAATAATGATCTTATCAATCTAGAYGGGAAGCCTACCTGTAATCTGCTTATCAGAGAATTAAAAATGTTTTCAGTAAAGCAGTAAGATTGAATATTCAATTCTGAAACAAACACTGTTCCCTATAGCAGAGTTAAAAAAAATATTGCAAATTGGCTCTTAATTCAAATTGAATGCATTTACTACATTGGAAAATAGGCTTATTCAATGTAGATAAAAGAAATGATTGTTGATGAGAAATGTATAGAGTAAAACAATAAAATCAGTTTAATATGATAAAAAAGGGCTGGGGTTGTGGCTCAGAGGTAGATCGCTCGCCTAGAATGCATGAGGCACTGGGTTGGATCCTCAGCACCACATAAAATATTGTGTCCACCTATAACTAAAAAATAAATATAAAAAAAAATAAGAAAATGACACGTATGCAATTCATAAGACAATGAACAACAATTCAGCTTTACTTTTATTTTCATATTGTTTAATWGATATTTTACACATATCATAAATATACACTTGTAATACAAAAATCTATACAAAACCCAAGTACTTTAACATCTACAAAAGGGAGATACTGCATTTGATTTTGGATACTTTTCTGTTTAAATACTATTTAAAATCGACCTTCAAGGAGACAGCAAATCAAAAGCCATTAACTACTTAGAGAGCTTTCTGTTCACATAAATTCATCATTCAAGTAAGTATATTTTATTGAAACAATAAGCCATCTGACTGGTACAAATGTCAAACTGCAAGAACTACAGTGTTGAGCCAAAGCAGAGTTTTATTTCCACTTTCCTCAGCCTAGAATCAGCTTCTAAAACAAAATGCAGAACACAACAATGATTTATAATGTTATAGGGCTGACAATGCACCCTATATTGTATATTTACAGGATCTTGTCAAAAATATAATAMATACTAAAGGTAACAAGTAGAAATTATATTTTCCCTAATTTCTTTCTATTCAATTTGAAAAACAGTACGTATCTTTCGTTGTGCTTGGCAACTGGACATCATACCCGAAGGAAAAATTCAAACATCCCATGGATAAGATRTGACATAATTTGGTTATAATTTCAGTTCAATAGTCATCAATCATAAAGAACTTAAAGTAGTGTTCCTTACCATAGCATTTCCATGACTTAAAAAGTAAATTATTGAGGCACAAAAACATTGCATGACTTGCCCGAAGTCATGAAAGAAATGAGGAACAGATTTTAAAACTTTTCCTTTCTAACTTAAGCAAYTGTACAAAAACCTATAGCTTATACCCTGTCTCAAAATTATCTCAGTCAGACACATAAAGAAATTAGGTGCATTATTCAGGAATGTTTACTTAACCTAAACTTCTGTAATTAAAAACTTAACTTTCAAGAACCCATACATTTATCATAAATCATTAAGAAGTTACAAATGGAATACAATCATTTTCTGAATTATTAGGCATGTAACAAGTTACTAATTAAATTTGACACAACTGATTGCAAAAAAATTTGACAATTTAAATACACAAGTTCTGAGAAAGATGCTTATCAACATGATTTTTWAAAAATACTAATTACAGGATCTATAAAATTTAGAAGACAGTACCATAGACACAAGCATATTAATATCATAAATTAAATCAACTTCTAGTTGACCTTTTGTTTTTTATGAAAACGTTCTAACAAAGCACTCATAATGTTTCCTGGAATTCTTTGGTGCTTATCAATCAAAGCTTGAAGAGCATTCTTCGTCTATTAAGAAAACAAAAGAAAAGTCATTATTATTTAAGTTCTCTATGTAGTTTATATGRTAAAAATTTTTATGACTACTACTTTCAAGAAGTACTCCTTAATTTGGCCCCCATCTCCTATCATAATGAATGATTTCCTTCTCGGTACACAATATCTTATTTCTTATCTGTATTTATTAAGYCTTGAATTATAGTTGTTGTCTAGTTGGCTATTTTCTGCACTAGACTGTAAGCTCCGTAAGATATATCTTAGTATTTCTCCACAGAAATGCCTTGCATATAGTATGAGCAAATGTATAACAATGAATCYTACCAYTATGTAAAATTATAATGCACCAATAAAAATATGGAAAAATGGCTTGCACACAGAAAACACTAAAATGAATTGAAGAAAAAGTTACAAGAAAGAAAGTAACAAGAAATCTTCTAATAGGTGAATAAAAGATTTAATCCTCTCTAGCCACTAATAAACTCTACTATATTTTTCTTTCATCACYATACATAACCCAAAATATTAAGCAATGAAACAGGAAAACAAAGAATGAGCATGAGCTGATACACTTTAGTTCAATGCCTCAATTTCTAGACAGTTTAASAGGAATTTTAATTAAGTCATTGCAATGGAAAAGCCAATTAGCATATATCAAAAACTTTTCTCAAGCTGTGCTTTAGAAATTTCAACAATTTTTATTTTTAAATCAGTTTATGGTTCTTTAAAACCTTTATTTATATATGTTAATAGTGCATGAATACACACATACTTTTTAGTTTTATAATCTAATCTTTAAACCAATAAATCCTAACCCGAAGATGTATTTCTAAAATAGCTCTCCAAACCAATTTTCGCATCTGTAAAATGAGAACTACTTCATTCAGTTTAACAAGGCTAAATGAACTTATAATGATGTTTTCAGGTACTTGGCAGAATGACTGACAGGCAGATTTTATTTCATGAATCATATTTCTAAAATTTTATCCCTCAGGAAATATTAGATCTTTTAAAGCTATAATGATAGTGAAACAAGTCTCTAATATTAAAAAGAGCTAATAAGTGAATAAGAAGAATCAAGTATAAAGTAATTAAAATGTGAGATCATTTGTGATACATATAACCTGAAATGTGAAAAATATTTAGAAGAGCCCTCTAGGTGGGTAGCAATCAGGAAACAACACATGAGCAGGAAAGCATGAGGATCGAAGACACGGGAAATCACCAGTTTAAGGAATGGCAAGTCAATCTGTTCAAATGGTTGGAGTCTGAGGTGTGTGTTCAGAAGCTAGATATAAGGTTTAAAATTAAGTTCCAATTAAATCATGAAGGGAGTTYAAATTGCTATAAATTGAAATGTCAAAGAAAGATTTGGGGGTAAAGAAATATCAGGGCTATCCATTAAGAAAACACAACTCTTGCAAAGATAACCAGCGATATCTTTCTGACACTACATCAAATGGACATGTTTTTAATCTTCATTTTACTTGCCCTCTAAATTRCCACTGTCTTCCCTTTCTTATAATGCTTTTGCTTCTGGAACCTCACACTTTCCTGGTTTTCTGATCTTTCTTGGGCTATTCCCTTTCAATTTCCTTTTACAGATTCATTCTCCCAAAACCAGTCACTGATTTATTATTCAAAGACTCAGTAATATGATCCATTTCCATAGTTTCAATTACCATCYACTTGCTGAAGATTCCCAAATTTTCACCTTCAATCTTATTAGTTTCAGATTGTTATGTTCAACATGACTTCCCTTGGATGTTTTAAATGCACCTCAGACTCAACATGCTTAATTATTTAAAWTTTTTTTTTAGTTGTAGACGGACACAATACCTTTATTTACTTATTTTTATGTGATGCTGAGGATCAAACCCTGTGCCTCAACATTCGAGGCAGGCGCTCTACCACTGAGCTACAGCCCCAACCCTCAACATGCTTAATTTTAAGACTAACATTTTTTGTCCTTTCTTGAATTCCTTCCCTCTCTCAGCAAATGATAATACCATGAATCTGCCCACTTACGCCAAAACTTACGGGACACCCTTAATTCCTGATTCTCATTCACAGCAGCCAATCCACTGACAGCACTTGTTAGTTTTATCCCCTGAATAGTACTCAAATCTATCTACTCCTTTCCATTGTCTCCACCTTAGCAATAATTGTRCATGTAAATAAATCTGTACTTACATATGGGTGTACATATAATAATGTAGGGAGAGAGAAAGAGAAAGAGACACAGAAACAGAACAACAGATTAAGACTGAGAGAACTTTAAGGAAATATTCAAGTGTCCTCTTTGGCATTATTATAGTATATACTAACTTACATTTAGATGGTGTTTAGAAAATGACTTCTCCACAATCAAATACCTGAAAAGTCTATCGACCATTTCAAAACTGAGTTCTCATTTCTATAAAACATGGATGCTTCCAGGTGTGGCAGTGCACTTCTATAATCTCACCTACTTAGGAGGCCAGGCAGAAAGAAAGCAAGTTTGAAGCCAGCCTGGGCAATTTAGCAAGACTGTCTCAAATAAAATACAAAAAGGACAAATAAAATATAAAAAAAGATTGCAGAGCATGGTAGTGCATGCCTGTAATCCCAGTGGCTTGGGAGGCTGAGGTAGGAGGATCTCAAGTTCAAAGCCAGCCTCAGCAAAAGCAAGGTGCTAAGCAACTCAGTGAAACCCTGTCTCTAAATAAAATACTAAATAGGGCTGGGGATGTGGCTCAGTGGTCTAGTGCCCCTGAGTTCAATCCCTGGTACCCTCTCTGCCAACAACAACAACAAAAGGACTAAGACAGTAGCTCAGTGGTAGAGCACCCCTGGGTTCAATCAGCACTATCAAACCAAACAAACAAATAAACTTGAATTTCAACGCTAATCATTTCAAATGTGTGGTAATCTGTTCTGCTAGTTTGTGCTTCCATTACTGGTATTAAAAAGACTTGGAAATCATAAAAAGCATTCACAAAAGAAGAATTTCAGATTTTCTTGATTTCAAGCATACTTTAGTTCACTRAAGTTAATTTACACAAAGTGACCCTGCTGCCTAAAGTTTTCAGGACAGGATTTTTTCCCTCTCTATATTACCTTCTGTTTTGACCATGACAAGTAGTCTGTAAAAAAAAAAGTATTCCGACATAGTTCTAACCCCACTTAAATCCAAATGGATAGCYGGGAAGACAATTTAAAAGAACAAGACAGAATTCAATTATATCCTAAAGAATGCATTTGTTAGGGAGCAGCAAAGATATATATTAACAACAATTTGTATAGGGGTAGAAGTAGAATCAAAGGGTTAGGTCTCAGCTCTGGTATAGCTCTTAGACCATGAAGCTCTTAGAAAAGCATCATTTCAGGATGAGAGAAGAGTCATGCTGTGTGGAGAATATGCCCTGACCTTAAAAGTCAGGATTTTACCTTGAGGTCAACAGAGCTAAACTGAATATACTTAATGAACCATTTTAATTACTTAAAGGACAAGAAGGCATAAAATGTATCACTAATGTTACCTTTGTGAATCTTCCTATCAACCTTTCATGTGAACAGTCTCATCTAACACAGTATTAATGTTGCTTCAGCTGCATATTCTCTTCTAAGTGACTAACTTGATGAGTCCTAGGAAGGCAGGTGTATTAATTTATTCCTTTTCCCTGTCAGGCCCCTCTTTACTTGACCATCCTTGTGGRAGGATTTCAGGTCCTACCTCACAGAAGTCTAGCGTCCTGGCTTTGGCAATAAAATACCAGTAGGAATGAATGGGTCACTTCCAAAAAGAATCTTTGAAAACCATCTCATGGTCTATTCCTGACCTTTTCCCTTTACCACACAAATGGCAACATTCTACATGGGGCTTTTCTTTTAGCCTAATCTCAAAACAATGAAGATAGGGACATGGACAAAGCTACAGCTAAAGCCCATCAACATCAACAAGAAGTAAATTTTATCATCATAAGCCTCTAAGATTCTGTTGTTTTTGTAACTGTAGCATGACCTAGCAATGCTGAATGAATATCCAGTTTTTTCATGTATAAAACAGTAATAATTAACCTATAATTTTAACAACTCAGGAGGCTTAGACAAGAAGATATCAAGTTTGAGGCCAGCCTCACCAACTTAATGAGACCCTGACACAACTAAAACAAAAGGGGGATGGGAAGCTGGGGATGTAGCTTAATGGTAAAGCATCCCTGGGTTCAAACCCAGTTCTAAAATAAAATAAAAATAGTAATAATTAGGGTTGATATGAGGATTAAATTAGACTGTATATGGATAACAAAATCATCTTTGTAAATAATATAATCTAATATGTAGAAAACCCTAAAAATCTCACAAAAAGACAGAATAAACAAATTCAACAAAGCTGCAGAATATAGAATCAATACACGAAAATTAGTTGTTTCTCTATACTGACAATGAACAATAAAACAATAGAAACAGAAAATAAAATCCCAATGAACCACAGAAATGAAAAATAATAAAACTGTAGGATCAAAAAATTAAAATATTTCTCCAAGAGGAGAAAGATTTGGACACTGAAACTGCAAAACTTGCTAAAAGAAATCCAAGAAAACACAAATAGAAAGACATCCATGTTCATGAACTGAAAGAATTCATACTGCCCAAAGCAATATACAGATTCGAAATCCCAATGACCTTTTTTTTGCAGAAATAGAAGAAAGTCTTAAAATTCACATGAAACTAGAAAGGACCTAAATAGCCAAAAACAAAGAAGTAATAGTAAAAAAGAAGMACAAATCTATGACTCACATAAAGGCCAAAAGATCTTCAACAAGAGTGACAAGACTACACAGTTGCAAAAGTACAGGCTCTTCAGCAATGGTGCTAGAAAATTCAATATATAAAATGTAGGAAATTCTTAGAAGAAAACATAGAGGAGAACTGACTTTGGGTTTGGTAATAATTTCTTAGATAGCACACTAAAAGCACAGAAAGTAAAAATAGACAAATGGTACTATATCAAACTCACAATTTCTGCACATCACAAAAAATAAACATCAATTGAAAAGTAGCCTACAGAATGGGAGAGAATATTTGCAAAGCACATATCTGATATGAGGTTAATATGCTGAATATATAAAGAAGCTTTACAACTCAACAATAAAACAATTGTCTCAACTAAAAATTGGGTAACTGAYTTGAACGAACATTTCTCAAAAAATGTTTACATATAAAGAGMCAACAAGCATATAAAAAGTTGGCTGCTCAATATCACTAATTATTAGAGAAATGTAAATCAAAACCACAATGAGATATCACCTCACACCCATTAGGATGGCCATAGTTAAAAGTAAAAAGAAAATAACAAGTATTGGCAAGGATCTAGAAAAATAAAAACCCTCATGTGCTGTGTGAGAATGTAAAATGGTAACAGCTAATATGAAAAAGAAAATGAAGGTTCCTAGAAAAAMAAATTAAAATACAATTACTCTATGATCTAGCAATACTACTTCTGGATATACATCCAAAAAAATTCAAAACAGATAAATTTTCACACACATGTTCACTGTAACATTATTCATAGTAGTGAAGACTCGAGTCAAAACAAGCATAAACAATCTAAGTGCCCAACAACAGATAAATGTATAGAGAAAATGGGGTAAATATTAGTCAGCCTTAGAGAATGTGAAAATTCAGTCATGTGCTAGAAGACACATAAATCTTGTAAACATTTTATGCTCAGTGAAAAAAAAAGCTAATTCCCAAAAGACAAAAATTATGATTCCTCTCATATGAAGTATCTAAGATAGTTAAACTCTAAGAAGCAAAAAGTAGAACAATGATTGTCAGGAACTACGGGGAGGGAGAAATGAGAGGTTTGTGTTCAACAGGTATAGAATTGGTTTTGCAAAGTGAAAAACTTTTGGAAATCTATTGCTCAACATCCATGTACTGAACTGTTAAAATGGTTAAATATGTGTGCTTTCTATCACAATTTAAATTTTTAAAAATAAATCAGACTAATATATGTACCAAAGACAGTTATAAAAGTCATAATCAAAACATTCATCCCATTTTAAGTGATTAAACAAATGACATTTATTGCTTTTTTGTAATTATATACCCTCTAAAAGTATAAGTGCAAAAGGAATTGTCTTTTCTCATTCTTATTCCCTTGATTTCTTTACAATAAGTATTACTGATCATTCTCACCCCTACTGACTTCCATCACACAAATTTACTTACTGCTCCAGTTCCCTTTCAGTTAGCTTCAGTTGTTCTCCTTCCTTGGCTTCCTCCTTAAATGCTACATTTCTTGCAAGATGTCTTCAGTCCTCTTCTTTCTTTCTTCAACCTGTGTTGCCAAGCTTAAGACTTCCACGACTGCCTCAGAGCAAATGACTTCCAAATCTCCAACACCAATTTTGATTTCCTTACCCTAATTTCAACCCAATATTTCCAAAACCCTAAACATAGATCCATATCCATAKATGTCCTGCAGCTGACCATAAATTCTTTCCTTGGCCTCTAGCCATAAATGTCTGTAACACTACCTCCTCCAACTTCTGCCCACTGTGACAATAAAAAAATGTCTTTAGACATTGCCAACCATCTCCTATGGAAAATCATCACTTCTTGAGAACTATTGACAAAGAACACGATTGTAGAATACATAAGTAAATAAGTTATGAAATTTTAAATAATAATTGAAAAAAATCTGTCCTAAGACTAAGGAAGATGAAATAATTTACCTTTTCAGCTAATTCTTCTGCTGTTATCTTTGGATCATATGGAATGGGATCACCTAAATAAGTCCGTAACTTCACTGGAAAACCGCCATACATTGGAGCAAACGGATAACGGAATTTTTCATAAAGCCATCTAAACAGCCCTGTTTAAAGTAAATAAAATCATTTTTACTGATTAAATATTCGAAGYATACAATTGTAAACTTTCAAATTAATTATGCAAGATTCACAGTAAAGTAATAGAAAGTATTGCTTCTTAGAATTATAAAATATTTTTTAAAAAGATGAGCTTTTCAATCAATTGTAATAAATGATACTGTACTAATGCAATATATTACAAGGGAAAACTGAAGGATGGTGAGGGGATACATTTAAAAAAAAAATCCCTATACTTTCTACTTAATTTTTTTCAGTAAACCTAAAAATAAAAACATTAAATCTATTAATTTTAAAAAAGAGTAAAACTATGGAAATTTGAAAAGACAAACCAAGTACTATTATTGCAAAGCAAAGGGTAAAGACTGMAACCAAAAGATGAAAGTTAAAAAGTGGAAAGACATAAAATAAAGTGATTTACATGAATAAAAAAAAAGAAAAAGATGGGAGTATAAATTAAATTCGTGTAAACATGAGACTACAGTACACTGATAAACTATGCAAAGACTGAAACTCACTATTATAAGTTAGAAAAAAAAGCTAATATATCAAAGTAAAGAATTTTTAATGCTACCTGACCAATCTGAAATTTAGCAGAATTAAATAAGGAAGTAATAAAAAGGCAAAAACAAACAGATGGACTAAGTTTAAAAAACAAACAAACAAMAAACAAAAAACAGCATCAAGGGAATCCAAAAAAAGTTAGCCACATGGACTACACAGTTAATAGTTAAATACTGTATTAAAGTTGAAAACACTATTTACACCTGTAAATATAAAATACACCATCAAACCTAAAGTTATCATTAAAAGAAAAAACTAGATACTAATTGTTGAGATATTGAGCTTCAAAGTCAAGGAAAATTTTTAAAAGCAGTCAAAAATGATTTTAAAAACTATTTACAATTAAAGAAACAACCTGTAAAATAATTTCTGGTTTGCCATTTAAATTATGAAGAAATAGGCTGAAAGAACTCCACAACAAATGTCAAGTATCACATCAATCTGCCTTCCCATATTAAATTTGAAAAAAAAAGGAAGAAAAAAAATTTTTAAAGAAAAAAAAATTTTGACTTAAAAAACATGGAATATCAACACAAAATAACATTACATATAAAAGAAACAACAGCAATTTAAAAAACTCTTCAAAAGAGGACTTTTATGTAGATAGCTACTATAGGGTACAAAATTTCAAAGTAAGAAATAAGACATTGTGAAGAAAAAAAACATTTCCAAATGCTGTCATTCCTATGACTAAAAGCTGCTTTCTATTTCAATAAATTAAAGGTAGATTAAAAAAATCTCATCAATATAAATAGAGATGGTTAAAAATACTAAAAAAAAATRTTAAGTGACAAAAGTAAACCAAAGCAAACGACATCTCTTCAGGTTGTTAATCTTAYTTCAACGTGTAGCACCATTCACTGTTAAAGCTTTTAACTTCCTCATGGTATACATATACCATAGTATATAAATTTATATTGTGTCTCATCACCATGGTATAACATAATAAATTAGATAAAATGCTTTCAAGTTTTAAAGAACTCATTACCGATAAACTTCAAGTTATGTATACAACAGTCCAGCAAAAATATAATACCTAAGAACTGCCGTTACTTAGAATCAGTTATTTAGACTTTATATAGGAAAACACCTAAGCAATCTATCCATTACCTAATATTTAATAATTCAAAAGGATTCCTTACAGTGTTCAAAATTCCAAATATTTTAAATATTACATTATAATTAAAAACCATACGAATCAGAACTTACTTGTTCCTCCAAGTGATCTAAATCCTTCTCGAATATTTTGTGTAAACATAGGAATAATGGGCTAAAGAAAAGAATTTGAATTAAAAAGTAAATAAATAAGTCCATTCAATGTGTCCACTGAGTCACTAAGGCTAACTTTTGAGGGCCTGTTTGAAATCATCAGAATAAKATTTTAAAAATAATGGTACACTTGACTAGTGTGATTAATCAAACTAAATTCAACTTGGTCATTTGTAAAAATATAAATTGGAAACACTACCCTCCAGTGGCAACATACAATATTTCATTTATCTGTTTTCCTAGTATTCCACACAAATCCTTGAAACTCAAAATAGAAATTACAGTAATCATTTATTTCATTAAATAAAATGTATGTAATAAATTGGTTTTAGGAGAATAATGAATAGTATGCTCAATTAAGTTATAAGAAAGATTCTAAGGGAAATTTATATAAATTTAAGAGGTTTTGGCAAGATGCTATCATGGAATTAGTAAAACACCACTTTTTGTAAGCTTATTAAATTTAAAATGTTTGACATCGATGAAAAGTAAGCATATAAGATTTGCTGCAAATACAGGAAATGTATGTTAAAGAATTCTTTATATCATTAATTTTAGAGGATTTATGYTCACAAGTTCATGATTTTTATATTTCTATGAATACCAATAAGTGTGACTTTTTATAATGAAAGAATATATGCCATAAAATAATAAAATATTGTGAAGTATTCTATGGAAGTTATGCCACTACGAATATTAACATATTAAAAACCAAATAAACATTTTAATGTATACACTAATATGCTGAATTAAATGTTTTAGAATGGATAAACTGTATGTGCAGTGGGGGTTCACATTATTTATAGAACTGGATAGTATATATATGCTTTAACCTAATACAGATCTACCTGCCTTAATGAGTAGGGCTTGGGTCTGTGGTATTTAAATAAGCTGATAAACTTATTCAGTTTTGAAAATTACGGRCTGAAGGAAAAAAACAGATACAGCTATTTGTATTACCTTACATATAACTAAGCAGTCACTAATTGTACCTCTCTTCTTAYTGGGAGGAAGACATCTAATAGACTGAAGGGAAATTGTTTTTCACTGCTGTATCCCTAGCACCTAGAACAGTACCTGGAATAAATGAGGAGCTAAAGAAAGCCATCGAGGAATTAAACAAGAAATGGACAAACAGAACAGAGAGACAATGCTTCTAATGAATTAATTTGTATTCTGTGAATACGAAGGCCAATAATAGGCAGCAGCAATCTTAAAATCATTTAGGAAGAGAAAACAAGTCAGATAAGAAAAGCTTCAGTTGAAGAATTTAAAAATTTAATGGAGTTAATTCATGAAGCTAACACACTGAAAAGATAAAGTATATTCAATTATTTTGTAAAAGTAATCAGATTATGTTCTAGGAAATTATTACTAGTTTTCTAAAATAAAATGATGGCTAAAATCCTAATGTTTTAAATAGTTATAAAATGTCTTCAGAGTTGACAGTTCAAAATGCTAAAGAAAGAAAAGACCTTTCAGGTCAGAGATACACACTTTGTGTCCCTTAACAAGTACTGTTGGACTTACATCTACCAACTGGCATGATCCCAGAAGTCTGTATGCACTTTATAAGGACTATTCAGGATAAACATTACTCCTTAAATACTTAACTYTCTGGAGACTGTACATTTCTAGAACCTACTAAATAAAAGAAAGCCTGGCCTAGTAACTTCAGTACTTCATACTATTGTCTGTGACTAAGGTTTTAAATTTACATTGAAGTTAMTATCCTTAAAGCCATAAGCAACAATGTTTTGCAAATTGAGCTTGTAGTACATTCAATTCTCCCCTTGAATATACTTTGTAAACAAAGTAGAGTTTGAGATATTTAAATATCTGGTATTATTCAGTTATTCTAAGTAACCTAGAATTGTTTACATATATACGTGTCTCTGTATGTATGTGTATGAACAYATGGGTACAAGACAGAATGTGCATTTTTAAAACTATACTTGGGAATAGTCCAGGGTCTTACTTCTGCCACAAAAATGTGAAAACCATTACAAAAGTTACTTACCATATCTAAGCTTCATCTTCCTCATGTATAAAATGGGGTAAAAATAATTATCCTATCTCAAAGGGTAATTTTAACAAAATGTTATCTTGTTTTASATCTGTTACTTATTTTCCAATTAAACACACTAATTCTTCCACTTATCTAAGAAGTTACTTAAAAATTCTTACCAATATCATAATTCTCAAGAATTTACAAAATAAGTGACTTATATTACATATTAAAAGTCTGTTGCTTTCAAATGAACTTTACATATTTTCTACTAATATTTTATGAACTGCATACAATCTAGATTTTTTCCTCTTGACTTGTAAAGAATGTCACAATTAACATTTTATTTTTTATTTTTTACACTGCTGGGGATCAAACCCAGGGCCTCACACATGCTAGTGTTCTACCACTGAGCTACACCCTCAGCCAGTATGTCATAATGTATTTAATTTTAAATGTAGTTAAGYCTGCAACAATAGTCTTTACTCACAGTTTATGATAATTTTTTGAGGCCTATTAAGGGATTTTCCAGATGGGATACTTGTGTCATACATACATTACTGAAAGATTTCCCTCACAGATCTGGAAGACCCCTTCAATCTCAGATGTCCGCAGACTCACTGTGCAATGTAGTCAGAGATGGCAACAGCACCGTTGCCTTGAGTCCTGAACTGTGTGTTCTGCTCTGCTGCTGCCTTGTTGTGACCAGATCCCTTCCATCCCTCCATCTGTCTGTGCCTGAGTCTCCTCATCTGTAACATTGGAATAATTATATACGTCACCTCCTTCCATACAGGAGTACCAGGAAAAAGCCTTTACAAGTGCTATAAAATGTTGGGATGGCACAATATTTATTAAGCTAACAATGTTATTTTGTAAATCCAAAGCATTAAAGAATTGTTTGTCTTTAAACTAATAGAAAGTTCTTTCATAAAATTTCTGAAATCTTTATACAAAATCTTAATCAACTGGATTATCTTAATTGACTACCTAGAAACTTATGGATTGGAAAAAGAATTATTTTCTTTGTATCATTTCTTTCAGGCCTTCTTCAAAGCAATATGTTGCTTAAAATTATAAACTTAAGAAAGAAGAATTAGAATTCCATGATGAATTTATGATTTCAACTTGATTTGTATCATCTTTAAACATATGAAGACATATATTTTCAAAATATAAACTTAAAAAGTCAATCATCTTTAAGTTTTAGTTTAATTAGCTTTTTAGYTTTTATTATTGCTTTAATATGCATTGCATTGATTTTCCTTAATTTTTGTAAAACTTTTGTAATCTTTTGTATTCCAAGTTATTTATACAGGCTAGGTTTTTATTTCCTGCATCAGAACTTTAAACATTCTGGAAAATAGTGTTATGTGCTAAAAATTAATTTTCTATATTATTGACATTATTTAACATAAAGTTAAATTCAAAAGGCTATTTTCTACTAGTAGTGTTTAATACTGTCTTTTTTAAAAAACTCAAATCCTATTCTAAATTCAAATACTAATTCTGATTCTAAATTCAAATACTTAAAAGCCTACTCAAAGCTAGTCTCTATACTAAGTATTTGAATACAAAATCCTAGTCCTCAAGGAGCTTATAATCTACTGTAAGGAAGTAGTATTTAAATTTTTGTGTTATTGAAATACTTTGGCAAGTACATTCACCCCAAACTAAGATCACACTCATAAAGCATTACAGCAGTAATTTCTAGGAATTACATATACAGAAAAGAGCTCAAAGCATTTTATTTCACTGGGAACTTTGCAATTAAGACATAAAAGCATTTATTCTTCTTCAAATATTATTCTTTGGTTACAAAAAAAATGAATCCTTTATAATCTCTTTTTTAATCAACAGTCCATATTTGCAAGATGGGCAATCAAGCTAAGGGTCATTTTATGGTCATTTTATGCCACACCAATGGGAACACAAAAAATCTGAAATGTGAAAGTTATTAGCAGCAGTCTCTAATAGGCCTGGAAAAATAATTACTACCCTATCTAAAGTATTGTTGACTTCTTTTGCTGACAATCTAAAATAAAAATTAACAGAAGCAAAGGAGAAACATTTCATAAGTAATACATAAGTGTTTTCTAAGAATACAATAACAATATGGAGCTCAAAGTGCTAARGAGTACTTTCCAAAGGCAAAAGAAAAGCACAAAATGGCATTCACATTATTCAGTCTGTTAAGTAGATTAATTTATTGAATCTCAGAGGAATCCTTAATTTTACTGACAAATTCTCATAGGAAATCTTTAATTAGTATCCAAATTAGACCAATATCTGTTTATTATCTTTATAAGAGAGCTGATGAAAAATGATAAAGTCACAGATTATTTCAGTCTGCTTGTAAGAAATGGTCAAAGATAAGATTACCAAACTAACAACCACTYCTGAAATATACCAATTCAGTCACATCAAAAGTACCAAAGGTTTAAAACATACACAGAATTGAACTGATTACACTAGTGGGAAAAAAAAAGCATAATTAAAGGAATGATGAAATTATCTGTACAAAATTACAAATATGATGAAAAGAAGATGGATTTTAAATGTAAAATAAAACCTTGCTGGATATTTGCAAAATTTCAAGAGTCATTTTTTATGTAAGATGGCTTTCTATGCACAAAGAATATTTCTCTACTGACACATTTTAAAATGTTACATATAATAATTTTAAGCTATGTAATAAAAGGGGGGTATATTCTTATATACTTTGGCTCACTAAGCATTTATTTTAAATTTAACTAAGCTTTAGTTGAATAATTAATTTTGCACAACTCACCACTTTTGCATCAATTGCAACCTGAGCAAAGCCTTTTCGATTACCCCATACGATGTTGTAAGTTTCATCACTAAATAGGGCTTCTCGAACTCCACCTGGTGAAATAGCTAACAAGTGACCACTCTTCAGAATTTCAACACATTTTTCTCTTGGTCCATGTAGAGCACAAAATACATCAAGTAATAAACTAAACCCTGTAAGAAAGATGAGATCTTAAATACATTCTTGTTCAATTCTTCCAAGAGCAAATATCTTCACACGTATGAGACTATCTATATTTATATCAGTAACTTTTTTCATTTTCTAAAATTAATAATTGTTAAGGTTAACATAAAATTTATATTATTTATGTAGTAATAGATATATCTTACTAATAACATAACTACTGATTACTTTCTACTGATCACCTACTATTCTRGCTACTTTACATATTCAAACTCTTAAAAAACTCACAGCAATCTTGGTAAACAGGGATTCTTCTGTTTTACAGATGAGGAAATCTGAGCTCAGATATTCCRTAGCACACAGCTAACAAGTGCCAGGAGAGAGATTCCCATCTGAGTATGTCTGTCCTCAAACTCCTTCCATTGCATATCATGCCCAAAACACTCTAAAATATTTATTAGGGCAATCAGAAATAATATCCCACTAGCAATTACAAATCTAATCTCTCATTAACCCTTTAGGGGTTAATGTTAATTCTTTTAAAAATCACTTGAGACAATATGAATCTGACTATGCTTAGCTCTACCCAAACAGGCAAGATTATAATCAAATCTATTGAAATTAAAAGTCAGGTGAGGCTGATCTTACAAATAAATTTTTAAATAATTAATAATAGTAAACATTATTAATAGTTTTTTTAATAAAGTGAAGGTGTTTGATTCAAGAACAACTAATTATAAGTTTTAATATTGCACAGCTTTTCAAATTACAATTATTTATGGATAAAGGACATAATCCTGCCAGCAATTAAATATTTTAATAAAATCTTATGTTGGAACTTTAGATCACTGTTAATATACATGCATCACTTTYTGACACAGAAATAAGAATGGTCCCTAAAAATTGTGCCGACTAACCAAATTTCTCATTTAAAGGACTGAAACAAGATTATAAATCATTAAAATTTAAATAATTTCCACCCAACATTACATTAAAAGCTCACTGATTTAACTAGATGCATTCTCCATAATAAAACARGGAATAAGGGAGGTTTCAAAAAGTACAAGACAGAAAATCTCTCTTGTACTAAGAATTATAATGATTTTATACCTTCAGAAAGCAATGACGGACATAAAGTAAATCAATGTCAAGATGTTACAGGATCAAAAAAGAAGAAGATTATTTGAAAAGCCAAAGCTAAAAATATTCACTTTACAAAAAGGGAAAAAAAATGGAAGTAACCTAATGTTTGATAAATGAAAAATAGTAAAGTACACATATTAGTCATAACATCAACTGCTCCTTATAAGTCAGCAAAAWGTTGATGTTTACATGAAAACTTCTCCAGAAAACCCACAAAATTGTTTGTAAAACAYAAAAATAGGTAAATTAAAAATGAAGTAAATCAAATAACTGGCTATATTGGAAGGGTAAGATTATAATACTGTTCTTTGTTTTCCAATTTCTAAAATTATTAGGTGACAATATTACTTTTAAATGGAAAATCTTCAGCTTAACTTATATACAAAGTAGAAATGAGTGTTTAGTGATACAATGATACCCAAAGCACTAACATGTTATGAAAAGTACTGAAGTAGATCATTACTTAATTCACTAAAAAGTTTTTGTCTGTCTGGTTGATAGATAAGCTTTATTTTTATTAGTTCAGAACAAGCAATCAACATTCCTGACTTGTTTCCAATGATTTAGTAACAGAAAAAAAGATTCATCAAAATTAATTCATTCAAGAATCTTTTTAAAACTCTAGTGTTTGAAACCATTTGGCTAATTAATCTCTTTAAAAAGGCACTAAGACTTTATGAACACATTAAAAACAATATAGTCTTCAATCTTAGAATTTAAATCTAGGCAAACTGTGTAATAGACAAAACACATGTATTCTTTAGGGTAGCAAAATGATGAAGACACCATATATCTTGGCTAATTTTTTTTTATAATTTTGATCTGCTATAAAATTGAAAGCTATTAACCCCTTACAGTAAAATTAAACAAAAAAATCAACATCTCATGAAAAAAAAATCATCATACGAAAAATAACTACCTTCTACATCAAAATTTACACTGCTTTTGCAAAAATCAGAATATAAAATTCAATATTTGGCCTTGCTACAGCTCAGTGGCAAGGCACTTGCCTAGCACACACAATGCCCTGGATTTGATTCCCAAGCACCAAAAATTAAAATAAATTTCAAGATTTAAGCCTTACACAGTGGYACATACCTATAGTTCCAGCAACTTGGGAGGCTAAGGCAAGAAGATCACCTAAAAACAGGTGTTTGAGGCTAGAAGGCAAAAGTCTTTTCCAAATGATACTAMAGACTTCAAAGATAGACTGCCATGTAAATGATACTAAAGACCTCAAAGATAGACGGCCATATAATTTAATCATGATGACTAAATATCTTTCTATAATTTTCTACAGTGACAAATTTACCTGGAATTTTAAAGACAAAGTGATCAGCCACTACTCGGCAAGTTCTGCCTTTGTGAATAAAAATGTTAGCCATAAAGTAGTAAAAATCTATGGGAATAGCTCCATGATAAAAAATTATAAGTGCTGGTCCTTCTTTTGGTATTTTTTCCATCCCATGAACTTCATAACCTGTTCAAAAGACAAAATGCAAATACTTAAAATATATTTATTAGTTTATCTGTACTAAAGGATAGTCAATAATTCAAAAGCTTAGTATTCTTAATGGTTCTCTTGCCATTTTCCTTTTTATTCCCTCTTTCCCTTTCCCTTTATTGCTTCCAGTTCTAGAGCCATAAAGTGGGGCAGGATGAGTGTGCACTGGCATGGAGAGGTGGCCCAGAACAAGGACTGGAGTAATGCAGAGTGAGGGAGGCATCCACAGAGCGGACAGGAGCAGAGCAGAGTCATGACAACACTAATGTAGAAAGAGCCTGGCACAAGGTGATAAGGTTGAGTAGAAAAAGAAGGGGAACCAAGGTGCGGCAAGCACGTAAGTCAGAGCCAGGTGACAAAGTATGAGGGGGTCAGAGATGAGTGGGCTGAGGAAGTGTCTGTGTAGGAGGGGTGGCCTGGTGTAGGGCAACATGGCCTGAGCAGATAAAGAAGGGTACTGTGCAGTGTGGTTCATGACTTGGCCTGGGATTTCTGACTGAAGCAGAATAAGAGGATATCCAAGAGTGTTAAGAATGGTGGCAATGACAGGAGATAGGTTACACAGAGGGGGATTGATCAAATGAATAAACAGATTAAGTATAAGGGGAGCCAGGGTTCTCACTGATAGGAGATGGGTTAAAAATACAGAAAAGGAGAAAATGAGAATTAGTAACTCTGTAATCACAGAGAGCATCACTAGCTCCCTTAYAAGAAAAAGCCAGGTGTCTACAAACTCAACTTTTTGAGTACCATAAAGCTAAAGAAGCAAGTCTTTTAAGAAAGTATGTTTGATAGTTCAGAGCTGTGATTCCAATTTTAAGCTGATTAAAAATTTATACTGGTTTTAAATTCTAATATTATGTTAAGTTGGAATATATTTTGAACCTTATATATTCTATAATACTTTTGATCTTATATGATTTTTCCACAGAAGGGAATGATTRTTTTTATTCATTCACTTAACATTTTTTCCAAGTATTGTTCACTTATTTTCTTCCTAATTTCTTAATTCTAATTCAAGTAATTCAATTACTGAGGTTGTATGAACTTACCAAAAGGATCAACTATACATCTGGAGAAATTTTCTGAGAAATAAAATACTCTATTGAAGGATATTCTATACAGAATATTCCTGAGGTTCTCTCTRGCTTACAGAACATTTAAAAATATGAAATAAATGATCTATTTACATAACTATTTGCCAAATCACCTAGTTGAAAGCAAATTCAAATAATCAATTAATGAAAAACAATAGTTTGCCACAGTGCCACTAAGCATTAAGTCCCAACATTATTTAATTAAGTCACTTTAAAGCACAGATATGATCATATCATTCTCTTCCCAGAAATTATCAGTGGATTACTACTGCAGTGCAAACTTCTCAAGGCCTTTTAGATCCCAGCAGCTTATTGAGTGACATTAGATGATTCATGTATCAAATGAACTAACTGTAGCTCCCTGAATATACTTTCCCACTTTTGTGCTTCTGTTCCTGTGGTTGCTTTAATTGGAGCATTTCATGTCCCCTGTTTCCCTAACTGTACAGCTCAGACTCTACCTAGTCACCAGGTTCTGGGCATTTTATCTCCAAAGACTCAAATCTATCGCCTTCTTTCTCAATATCAGTTTCAAAAYGTAGTTCCATCAGCTCCCACCTGCAGTACACCAAACTTAGGGGGATTTGATGAGCAATGGAATCTCAGAGAAGGCAGTCCCAAAGATAATTATTGTCACTTCCAAGAAGGGACAATCAATCTGCAGATTTTGAGTCATCTGGGTCCCATGAATAAGAATAGCCATATTCTCTATCATTAAATACAAATTTATTTCTTCTCTGCTCTGATACCATGCTTACCAGGCATCAACCTGATTTTCTGGTTTTCTCATGTGGATTAGCTTACTGAAGAGGATATGAAGGTCAGTAGTATGAAACTCAGGTATCTTCTAATGGCAAAGATTTTATTATGTAAGCGAGTTAACTGCCTTTTGGCTTTAGACACCAGTATCATGAATTCAGATAATGATAACCTTCTCCTAAGAGATAAATCCCTTTTAAATTTGCCATCAGAAATTCATTTTTAAGCCTATACACCTACACATTATGATAATTTAATGGTGAGGTTGCCCTTCTGGATCTTCCTCAGAAAAGCAATTAGAACTAAACTTCCTACAAAATAGTCCAAATTCCTGAGCACAGATTCAACATCCTTCAAAACCCCTAGCTTCCTAGGGTGTGGTAGCGCACACCTGTAATCCCAGCAGCTCAGGAAGATCAAGAGTTCAAAGCCAGCCTCAGCAATGGCAAGTTGCTAAACAATTCAGTGAGACCCTGTCTCTAAATAAAATACAAAAAATAGGGCTGGGAATGTGGCTTAGTGGTTGAATGCCCCTGAGTTCAATCCCTGGTACTAAAAAACAAACAAACAAAACCCTAGCTTTGTCTACCTTTTCAGATTGGTCATTCAGTATACTTCTCATCCACAAATAATTCATCTTCTAGCTCTGAATACACTCTGCATTTTATTTGCTGGTCTGTTTAACAAATGGTATCTACTGWGTACAATTATGGCTATTTTTTAAAGAAAATTTCRAACTCTTTTTAAAAAATATTTTTAGTTGTAGTTGAACACAATACCTTCATTTTATTTATATTTATTTTTATGTGGTGCTGAGGATCGAACCCAGCACCTCACATGTGCTAGGCCAGCGCTCTACCACTGAGTCACAACCCCAGCCCCCCTTAGGCTATTTTTAAGTTGATTTTTTTTCTAATTTATCTTCTAAGGCTTATTGAAAATAAGTTGTGATGATCTGTACTGCATTTAGCTTACTATGTCTTTTTTTTAATTGTTTCTTACATATATCACAAAAGAGGAGTGCATTACATTCATAATTTTTTTGCATTGCAATTCTTAATACACCTTTATACCACAATTTATCAAATCTCTGTTYGTATATAAGGTATGTTGACACCAAATTCACATCTTCATACAKGAATTTTGTATAATGATAACCGTCTCCTTCCACTATCCTTGCTCTTCTTTTTAAAAGAGCYTTTACTTTTCTGTCTTAGATCTTCCCTACTTGAAAATTATCAATCAAATACTTTCCTGTAACTCTTCCTATTGGTCTGAAATACCATTTTTATCACTTACCAAATTCACATTTCTGAACTCTTTAATCTGTTTGATTTATAAATGATGATTCTTTCCCTGTACCAATACCACAATTTTAATCAGGATAAATAATGTTAATGTTTTTTCCATGAGGAGGAAAATACTTTTGTTTTCTCAAATTGGTCTTGGTTATTCCTATTTATTCTTCCATACAAATTTTATAAGTTGGATGAAAAAATCATTTGGAATTGCAAGAAATTAATAGATGAATTTGGAATATGTAGAGACTTTCTATTCATTCAGTTCTTTTTGAGTTCCACATACACAGTTTCTCCACACAGTTCTCAAATGTTTTGTYAGAATTAGCCCTTAAATAGAATATTTCCTGTCTAGCAAAAATTAATGGTTTAAGATAACCGTTTTTTTTAAGAGAGAGAGAATTTTTTAATATTTATTTTTTTAGTTTTTCGGTAGACACAACATCTTTATTTTTATTTTTATGTGGTGCTGAGAATCGAACCCGGTGCCCCGCGCATGCCAGGTGAGCACGCTACTGCTTGAGCCACATCTCCAGCCCCATTAAGATAACCATTTTTAAAATGACTATTGACGACATATGGGCCACTTAATTTTATGGGCCACTAAATCCCTTGGTTAACTATCTTATTAATACTAAGTCTGCTTCTTTCAAGTGTCTCTTATTTKCTAATTGTTTACACTTCCTACTTCTAGCCTCCGCCTCGACAATATTAAACACTAGAGGTAACAGCATCCTTGTAAAGTTCCCTATTATTGGAACTACAGTTTGCTTTTAAGATTGACATGATTAATTTCTTGAAATAGTGGAACTTGTGTACTCTGGGCCCTTTGTGGAGGGAGGAGAAAGATAACTTTGGATACTGTTTTAATTTCTTTTATGATTCTTGGTCTATTTTGTTTCTCTCTTCTTTTTGAAGCAATTTTGATCATTWCTATTTTCTTATAGCACTGGCCATTTCATTTAGTCTGTAAGTACAGTGGTAAGAAATAGTTACTTTATTGGTACTATTCATTCTTCAAAGCCTTGTTCAAAGGCTACCTCCCCTGTGAATAATCCTTTTATTTTTGTCCTGYAGGAAAAGAAAATAAATTATCCAAGGTCACACAGAGGGACCAGGATATAAACCTATATTTGCCCAACTCCAAAGTCTGTATTCTTGCTCCATACCACAGGTTTGTACATGATAAACTAGACCTATGATTTTCAATTGCTGATTATGACTTATGAAATAAACTTATTCCAGTGTGAAATAACTCTGGTGAGTTATCATCAACATTTTTCTTATTAAAAAAGAACAGAAAACATAATACATTATATATAGAAAGCATATATACTTTCCATAAAACAGTATATACACATGTATGCATACTGGATAGCAAAATACCTTCCTTACCAGGAATAACTGTAAAAATCTGATACCCTAAAACTGTATTTTTAATATCTTAGGGACTCATTAAATATGCTAAGTTGAACTAAATAATGATCAAGAGACAAGGGGTTCATATTCTAGTGCCTTCCAAATTATCAGAGAAAGGTGCTTTATAATTATGACAGTTAATGTTTATTGAAATTTTGTATATAACAAATTATGCTAACAYTTTACATGAAATTTCACTGAATCTTTGTAACAACTCATTTAGAATAAAAGAATTGAGATTCAGAAAAATATCCTTTTTGAAAAAGTTAAAGTAGCTTCCTCAAATCTTTATCAATTACAAAGAAAAAAGAAGAAACTTTATAATATAGAAACCTGGCAGATATCTTCTTGAACAAGTGATTGAAGTTATAATAACCAGTTACATCATAACTCCTATAATATAAGGTGCTGAGAAGTACCCAGCATCATTTGTGTGGTATTCTTGTCAAAAATTCACAAACTCAATCTAACTATAAAAAACATCAAATTCAAACTGAGAGAAAGTCTAAAGGAACGAACCAGTGCCAAAACAAATAAACAAGGTGCCAAGGTCACGAAAGAGCAAAAAAAAAAAAAAAAAAAAAACCTAAGAAACTGCCAGAGACTGGAGAAGATATGACAACTAAATGCAACAAGAGATCCTAAAAAAGGAACACTTACAAGAAAGTTTAAAATTTGAGTAAAGATAGAAATATAGCTTAGTAGGACACCACCTGCTTTGATGCATAAGGCTTTCAGTACAACCCCCAGCACCATAAATAAAACAAAATAGGAGTAAATAATAATAATAGTAGTATATGAAGCTTATAGAAAGATACTAACTTTCAAGGAAACTGGGTGAAGTATATATGGAAACTCCTGATACTGTTATGGCAATTTTTCTGTAATTCTGTATTTTTTAGATGCAATTTTTAAAACTCATAATTATTGCAGAAGRGGAGAGGAGGAGATTAAAGGGGAAAAAAAGGAAGGGGAGAGAAGGAAAAAAAGGTAAATTATAAGTCACATGGTCAGACTACCTCTTTAGTCAAATGCCTACATTTTCCAAAATTTTTCCCAAGTATTAGACAGCCAATAAATTGGGAAAGCCTAGTTGCATAAATGACAAACAGGTGAAACAAAATTTTTATCCAACAGAAGTACAGACAGGATGTCTTCTTGATATCTCAATTTAATTTTCCTATAAAAACCTTTATTGCCTATGGTTTAATCTATAGGACGCTTTTAGTGAATAAAATGTGTCCAATTCTTTAAAAATAACAAAATATGCAGTAAAGAAAGTTAGGGTTTGTGTTACATTGGTMGATTTTTTAAAAACCAGTATTCGTGTATTATAAGTAACAAGTCATATGGTCAGACTACCTCTTCAGTCAAATGCCTACATTTTCCAAAATTTTTCTATTGCCAATGAATTGAATAAGTTACACTGGAAGTAAGTAAGCATAAACATTATTTTTAGACAATGAATAAACTCCTTTGTAAAACAAAAATGAAAACCACAATAACATATACCTAAGATTAAACAAATGAGTAAATATCTCAAAGAGAAAATGTTCCTTATTTTCCTAAAGCAAACGTTATGATTCTCATTACTTTGACAGTTGTACCAAAATACACAGATTTTAATTTTCTCAAAAATAGATATTTATTGAGGACTCTTCTTTATTAATTTTCAGGGGGAAATCATTAAACATTAAGAGTCCAGCATTTTAAAACATTTTTCATATATTCTAGGAATAATGCTTTTTAAAAAATGGGTCCAAAGTTTTTAGTTTTATTATAAGACTGTAGGAAAAGGAGTTCACTGCCTATCACCAAGTAAACTACCTAGAAATGGAGACATTTAAGAAACATCAAACTAATGTTCCTCCACATAGTATAGCCATATGCTACACAACACATAAGAATCACAAAATCTTGAAAAATCATAGATTTTTACATTACACTACATTTTACATTACACTCAGTCTCAGGACAAAAATATAACTTCAAAATAAAAAACAATGGAAAGATTTTATACAAAGATATTTATGTGATAATTAAAATGAATAATAATTAATATATAAGAATATTTAAAATAATAATAATTACAAACAAGTTACTGTTTAATGATAGGTAACTAAATAATTATAGGATTTACAGAATTCCATGAAGCCATTAAAAATCATATTTATGAGAAGGCTTAGTGACATGAAAAATATTAATCTGCCATGCATATAACAATAATAAAGACATTTTTWAAAATGACAGGCATACCAACATTTTTAATAGAACTMATTTGCATGGTAAATGTTAGGTGATTGCTTTTTCTTTGTATTTTTCAGTATCACTACGTTTTTGCAATGTATATTGTTATTAAAAAATGAAAGATTCTTTTAAAAGTATAATTAAAATTGACTTGACAGCAATTTACAAAATCTAAATGTGCACATAAATGCCTTTTATTCATGTTACTAAAAAATAGGGTAAAGAAAATCAATATTTTAAAAAGTATAACTTCTCCTAATAAAATGTTAAGCTACCAATATAAAAGATTTAAGCGGATTAAGAATTAAATATTTCTTCCAATACCTAAAAATATCTTAAATTTATACATTTTGCTACAAAATAAATTTCCTGCTTAAATCTACTAAATCAAACCATGTCTCCTGGAATATAAATAAACTGAAATGTCTTACTCTATATGATCTTGAAATATAAGGGTTTATATGTGTGGGAGGGGGATGTTTCCCAGCAAGTAGTATAAATGATGCCACTAAATTTCCTAATTACTTTCTTAAACTCAATGAACGATAACAGTCCACACAGATGTAGCCTCTGTAGACAAGCATGTGTACATTGATGAAATATCATTTTGCCTTATGAAAAACAATGAGAGTGTATGAGAGCTCCTACTGACAAGCAGGGACTTTAATAGTAATAAAGAAACATTAAGAACTCAAAATATCAAAGGTATATAGTTCCTGTTTGCAAACTTGCTGTACACTGTGACTTTTGACCCTGGATCCCCAAACCTGGACAGATTTACTATAAGACACAGAGCACAAGACTTAGAGCCGGATATCAGAGGTTACACTGTACTCTGCTTCCTAGTGTACCATGACAAATAACCTCTCTTAGCCTGTTTGGGRAAAGTCATTTTAAGAAAACCATACATGTGCACAATGCAAGCAAACAGATAACAAGGAATATCACTTCCATTATTTTTATTAGTATCTTCTCAATTAGTAAAACAGAATGATAGAATAGGTTCAGTGCCACACAGARACAGCAATACATAGAAATCAAAACATTCTTGCTTACCATGCCAAACTGCTGCATGTCCATCCCACAGAGTTGCCACTGTTTTCCTTGCACCGTCCCACAAATTATGAGAATAAGCTTCTTTTAATACATTTTTCCTCTTATAAATGTGTAAGAAAATAATAGTAAGATAGAGAAGAAAGATAGTAAAATAAGGAAGTATTAAAAGAATTAGTGGTGTAAAAACCCACAAGAGATGGTTTGCAAAATTCAAATAGTCCTCCAATTGCTCCACACCAAACCATTCTTCGAGTATGTGAATCAGACAGGTCATATAGGGTATAGAATCCTGTCCTGAAGCACAGGTTTGATTTTTGTCTATCATTTTTCTTTAGGTGAAAATGACAAATTCAATCTCTTTCTTCATTGCCATAGCAGGTCTTTAATTTTGACACTAGAAGGAAAAATAATTCATAGTTATTCTCTTCAGAGATACAAAGTTAAATGTTGGAGTCTACATAAGTAGCATATCTAGTCATTTCTTAATACCAAAAATAAGTAGATGATTAATGCTTAACCTTGTTGCAGGTTTACATGTGAAAATGATAAGGTTTCAACTGTTTACTCATGAATGTGTTGGGTTTAGCTTTTGAAATAACTTGCAAGCTGTAAGTGAAAGAAGAAAAAAACTGATGAATGAAATTTCAGATTTCATTCATTTTTCATAATTTGACTCATATCTCAAATACAGATATTGAACAATATTATACAATATTATGTTGAAATTAAATATATTCTTCACAAAAGAAAACATTAATAGTTAATTTGGTAAAAAATAACCAAATTCTTTAGAAAATGATGACATACATTTTTGGATACTGTCTTTTATAAAGAAACAGGTTCACAGAAAAGCTATCTATTCTTTTGACATTATATAATTAAAAAATCACCAATATTGCCTTTTATCTTATAGTCATTAMTTTTTTTTAAATATTAAATGCTTAAAAATACAGCTGTACAATTATTCTATGAATTCAGCTCTAAAATGGTCATTTAACTTACCAGAAATTACATAAATATCTTTTCCCAAGCTTCAGTGTATATATTCTGAAAAACAGTAAGCAAATGGAAGAAATATGTGACTAAAGAAAAAGATTGGGCTGCGGATGTAGCATGAGGGAACAGCACCTTTCATAAGCAATGCCTTCGGTTCAATCTCTAGCATCTCTCTCTCTATTAATACCAAAAATGTATCTTCTCATATGTATGTATCTTCTCCGTTACGTACATATCTATAGTATGTATAGATATGTATATAAAAAGTCAATCATTAATACCTTGAGTTGAATTTCCATAAAATAAATAGCACAAGATATTTACAAATGTTTAACGAAAATGATTATAGTCCCAAGATAGTATGTCACAATAAGAATTATAGTCATGCTACCGATGTTTGCTATGGACAATTGTTTAGTGCCACTATACAAAGCTCCACCTAAGAATTTATTTTAACGGAGCTATAAAAAGATTTACTTCTTCTGAAAAAGTCGGAATGAGTAATTGACTATCTCTCTTTACTAACTTTACCAGATAAGTTGACAAATCATAATCCCTACACAAGATTTCCTCTCTCCATTCATATTTTCTCTCGTTCTGATTCTATTCTTAGTGATATTTTACCATTATTCCATATTACATAACTTTAATGAAAATTATCTCATATCCATTATGGCTGAGGCAGGAAATAAATAAATGAAAGAAAGGAACAGAGAAAAGAACAGACATATACTCAAGACAACATATAGTTGTCTTTATGCAAAGATTTTCTTGCTAATTGGCTTATTAATAATACACATATTTTGAGGACTTTTCCAGCTATTGAGGATTTAGTCTAATTTCCTTGTAACCAATAGCATTTACTTATGAGAAACCTAGGCCTGTTACATTAACAGGAGATGAACATAACATACATTAAGACCTCAACCTGGGCTTTATGTATATCATATTCTAACCAATCCACCTAAAGAGCTGAATCACCATAATTATAATTCATCTGTGTTTGCACATTTGTAATGCAACATATCAAATTCAATACTTTCAAAAATGATAGGAGCTAGGGCTATAGCAGAGTGCTGCTTGCCTACCATGTACAAGGCAGTGAGTTAGAAACTCAGAAAAAAATAAAATTAAAAAAATACAGCAACAATAAAAAAAGGAAATATTAAGTGTTGATGAAAATGTAGAGAAATCAGAAATTTCATACATTGCTGACTGGAATGTAAAATAGCGTGGCTCAGTGGTAGAACGCCAGCCTCTCACGTGTAAGGCACTGGGTTTGATCCTCAGCACCACATAAAAATAAATATAATTTTAAAAATCAAACTTCTTAAGCACCAACAAGTGGAAAATTCCATACTTGACCTTATGTAAAAGGGCACAGTAAAAACRCAGGTGCATTTAAAATACTGTGTAAAATTACCTTAAGGCTATATGTATAATGTGTAAGAAACCTAAGTTAATTTTGCATTCAGACTTTGGTACCATCAGCAAGATGTCTCATTATGTTCATACAAATTTCCAAAATCCAAAAAAATCCAAAATATAAAACACTTAGCATCAAGAATTTYAGATAAAGGAAACAACCTATATACTATGTTTTTTCCTATACATACATATCTATGATGAAATTGAGCACTTCTACCTTTTCATTTAAAGGAGTCATGTCACAGCTTCTCTTTAGCATATCCAAATTTCCAGTACACTACTGTATTCTGGGGGTCATTGACAATTAGGGGTTATTTGAACACAATGATTGCACTATCACAACCTGTGTGTGTGTGTGTGTGTGTGTGTGTGTGTGTGTATGTGTGTGGTACTGAAGATTGAACCCAGGAATGTTCTACCACCAAGCTATATCCCAGCCCTCTTTATTTTTCTATTTTGAGACAGGGCCTCCTTAAGTTGCTGAGGCCAGCCTAGAACTTGTAATCCTCTTGCCTCAGCCTCCAGAGAGTAGTTGGAATTATAGGTGTGCACCATCACATGTGGATATAATACTGTGATTCTTAATCTCAGAACTGAGGCAGTACTTACTGAGTGACTAATGGACAGGTAGCATATACACTGGACAAAGGGATGATTCACATCCAAGAAGAATGGAGAAGGACAGCAGATTTCATTATGCTGCTCCTAACAGTATACAATTTAAAAATTTTAATTTGTTTATTTCAGGCATCTTCCACTTAATGTTTGTGGACTGGGGATGACCAAAGACCTGAAACTGCAGAAAGTAAACCCATGGGAAAAGGGGAACTATAGTATCCCTCTTCTCCTTTTAATCACATCCTTACTTAGCATACATAATGAGCACAGAAAAGGGAAGMCAAACAGAACAGGTAGGGCTCCAAGAAGGATTATATGGAAACCTACACAGAATCAAGTAGACTTTTAACAGTGCCACATATAAGAATCCCTTCCACAAATGGTCACCCAGTCCCAATTTTGATTTTAACGTTTCTAAAAAAATTAAAAAATTTTTTTTTTAAATCACACACAGGGTGCCCCATTCCATATTCAAAACCATCCATAACTACTAAAAAGGTCTCTCATACTTATCTCACTATCTTTTACRTAAGTCCATTAGACAACCTCTTAAACTTCAGAAATTATATGAATGAAGCTATAGTTTAATATTTCAGTCAAGATATCTGGCAAACCCAAACCTCTCCTGCCTCCTCTCCCTTTCCCTGGTGCTGGGGGTCAAACCCAGGGACACACTCTTGACAGGCACCAATCCTCTCTTTAAAATACATCAAAAATCTTTTTGAACTGATAAACTCAGTAAGATGGCAGGACATAAAATCAACMCACTAAAGTCAATTGCTTTTTTTAAATAATACACTAAAAATGAAACTACTGAGAAAAAAATCAATTCCATTCACAATAATTACAATCACAAAACAAAACCTAGGAATAAATTTAACCAAGGAAGTGAATAATCTCTACAATAAAAATTAAAAAACAATTATGAAAGAAATTAAAGAGGATGCAAAACATGGAAAGACATGCCCTCTTCATGGGTGGAAAGAACAGTGTTAATATGTCCATTCTGCCCAAAATGATCAGATTCAAAGCAATCCCTACCAAAATATCAATGGCATTCTTCACAGAACTAGAAAAAAACAATCCCAAAACTCATATGGAACCAAAAACCTTACAACAGCTAAAGCAATTCTAAGCAAGAACAACTAAGCCAAATAATGAATGCTGGCAGGGATGCAGAGAAAGGAGAACTCTCATACACTGTTAGCTGTAATGTAAGTTAGCGTAGCCATTATGGAAAACAGTATAGAGGYGCCTCAAAAATCTAGAAATAGAATTATGATTCAACAGACCCACWACTGAGTATATATCCAAAAGAAATGAAATCAGTATGTAGAAGAGTCAGTCACCTGCACTCCATGATTAACTGCAGCACTGTTCACTATAGCTAAGATATGGAATCAACCTAGATGTCCATCAACAAATGAGTGGACAAAAATATTGTGGCATATCTACACACAATTYGTCATAAAAAAAAGAATGAAATTCTGTTATTTGCAGCAACGTGGAGGAAATTGGAGGACATTATGTTCAGTGAACTATTAGGCAGAGAAAGGTAAATGCTACATGTTTTCACATGTGTATACTAAAAAAATGCTACYTCTTTGGCCTTCTTAAATGGTTAAATTCGGCATATCTCTGCCCTCAAAGTGTGGCAACAGTTAAGGACGCAGGAATAAACATTTCCTTTGAAAACTAGTCTTCTATTTCCACCCACTCACAAGAGTAACCGAAATACTAATAACCATTTCAAATGTCTGAATTTTAAMTAGTTCATACATAGTTCTAAAGAAGTACCAATATCATTTTGGCATTCATAACCCGAAAATCAGCTTTCAAGCTTGAACTTTCTTCTTCGAAAGGTGGYTGCCTAGGAAGTCTCAAGGAACACTACACTCAACTTTCTTTTTTTCAAAGTCAAGAGTACTGTTCCATGGGCTGGGGATGTGGCTCAAGCGGTAGCGCGCTCGCCTGACATGCGTGCGGCCTGGGTTCGATCCTCAGCACCACATACCAACAAAGATGTTGTGTCTGCCGAGAACTAAAAAATAAATGTTAAAAATATTCTCTCTCTCTTTCTCTCTCTCTCTTTAAGAAAAAAAAAAGAGTACTGTTCCAGTTTCTTGTTAAGATATATAGCAGCTTTGAAGGCTGAGACCTGCTTAACAGGCTTACAAACCCCAGTGACTACGTGCATGGCGCCCATAAGGTCTGGACAGACTCATATTAAAAAGCCTGATAYACATGGCTTCATTTAGTCCTTCAAACTGACCATCAGGTAGTTACTGTTGCTAGTCCCCAATTTCAACATGAAGTTCAGAAAGGTTAAGGCACGTTCCAGGTCACACGGGCAGTAAAGGGGCATAAACCAAGGTTCCAAGCCTGCTTCGGGACGCGAACACTCCTGGCCAGCACCCACGCGGCCTGCAGTTGCCACATACTTTCCTYTAGCTTTCATACACAGGAGGTTCGGTCAGGCTTCCCGGATCTGGGAAGTCACCCGGCAAGCTAAGAAGATCTCTAATGAGGCTCAAGACACCTCGCCCAGCCACCGAAATTTGGACRAAACGCGCTGAATCGGAGGTTTTCGAGAGCAAGACGGGGGACACGGACTGATAGTGACCCAACAGGACCTCTCCTTCCGGTCAGCCAGGGGCCCGAGCCGAACACCCAACAAGGCKGAAAGCCGAGCGCGCCGATGGGGCTTTCCGGAGAGGCCCGGGGAGACCCGACGCACCCCCTTCGCCGCTTCCAGCCGCGCGCTACAGACGCGACGCCGGGCTGGAGGAGCCTGGAGAAGTCAAAGGGGGACCGACGCACCTAAGACAGTGAARGATAAGGGCAACTCGCCTTCACCTTCCAGCAGCAGGAGGAACTCAGTGGCTTAACTGAGAAGTGAGACGGGCAGATTCGCAGAGCGGGTTTCCCATAAGCAATCAGTAAAGAGGAAGSCCGGGCCGGGTTAGGTGTGACACCGCCTTCGCCCCGCCCTTTCCTGTGGCCGCCCGGAGCAACTTCCTGTGGCGGCTCCTCCGCTAGCTCTAGGCTGCTCCAAGCCAGGGCCTGTTCCTAGCTTCTCAACCCCGAGCGGACACGGGAGGCCTCCTTTTGGTCTCCGGTAACGAACCAGAAGCTTAGTCCGAGTGTCGTGCGTCAGGAAGACCCTTGAAGGGGCAAAATGTGCTGCGAGAAATGGAACCACGTGGCCGAAATGTTTCTCTTCCTTGACGAGCGGGAGGAGGACTGTAAGATCCATTGCCTCTGCTCCCGGGCTTTTGTGGAGTAAGTAGAAACTGATCTCTCTTCATTTCTGCCACTATCGTGCCCAGTAATGTCGGCGTGGCAAATACACTTGTAATGGTTCCCTTTAAACAGATTTTTCGACCCTGCAGCAGGGCRGTGTTGAAGAGAAACAAAACCCGGGAGAGGTAACGGAGTGGTCGCCTACAGCGAGTATTAGGTGAACGACTGAGGCTGACCTCGTAGGCTGGTAGGGGGAAACGTGGTAGTTTAAACATATCACTTCCTGTTTACAGATTGAGAGGGCACTTTAAAGTTGGGAGAAAGGGAAATGTAAAACGAAATTCCTCATGAATGTGAAGGTTTAAAGTTGAATAGCCTGGTTTTGGTTAGCATCTCTTTTCAAACATTAAAATCTGTTCAAATGCGTGTACTTGGAAAGTCTAGCTGTTTGAGGTCAAAGGCTTAACTATTTTTACAAGTGTTTTGGAGATAGCTTTGTTTGGGGAAAATATTGAAGGTAAAAATTGCAAGAAAAGTAGAGTGAGGGGGGTGCAAATTGTAATCTAGAGACTGTTTTCTTTATAGATAGGCTAAGCCATTTAAAGAGTTTTTCATTTCTGAAACGGGTATAGTTACCCTAATATTGCATTCTGCCGCTTGTATTAAAATCCCCTTTGGAGCCGGGCGCGGTGACGCACGCCGGTAATCCCAGCTGCTTGGGAGGCTGAAGTAGCAGGATTGTGAGTTCAAAGCCAGCCTCAGCAATAGCGAGTAGATAAGCAACTCAGTGAGACCCTGTCCTAAATGAAAAATACAAAAAAGGRCTGGGGGTGTGGCTCAGTGGTCGAAATGCCTCTGAGTTCAATCCCCAGTACGCACCCAAAAAAATCGTCATTGGAAGTGACTTTCAGGTGATAGATTATAAATGTAGTTTAATGTAGGAGAATTTAAGTTAGAAGAAATTATTTTTCATTGTGTGTTTTTGTGAAGTAATCTGAAAATTAAACCCAAAAAAGTAAACTCCATATTTAATGTAAAAGTATTGTCCCCTTTGTAGTCAGGCATACGTACAAGTATGTATTTATTTGATGAATACTTTCTGATCCCCTGTGTATCAGATATGCTGAAAGGTACTGGGGTACTTAAAGCCTGTCCCTGCCTGCGTTGAATTTTCTTTCTAGCAAAGGAGATCAATATTAATTTTAAAAGAGCTGTTTATATAATTACTTGACTAATTATAGTTATGAGTGCCATGAGAGAGAAGTATTTGATTCTTCACTGATAACCTAACTTTTCTCCAAGGGTCACAGAGGTTTTGGGGGAAAAGTAACATTTGGAAAGAGGTCTAAAGGTAATAAACTGGGGTAAGATTGAGTGAGAGGAAGCATTCCCTGCAAGCTGAACTTTGACAAACCCTAGGAAAAGCAAAAGAAAGCCTGTGAAACCGAACAAAGTGACTGTCAAGGAAAAATAGGAGATAAAGTTGGTAAAGTCAGCAGAGTAAAGACGTACAGGACATTGGATACTTTATACAGTCCCTGAATTCACAATGACTCAATTTAATGATGGTGTAGAAGCAATTATTCAGGAGAAATCATATTCAGATTTTGAATTGTGTTCTTTTCCTGGGCCAGCAATATGCAGTGCCATACTCTTGTGATGCTAGGCAAAGCAAAAGCCACATCTCACAGTCCCGACCCCATGAAAACAATTCTACAGTTTACTGTGTTACTAAGCTAGGATATTTGGTGGATGTATTTTTAGTTCAAGATAGGTTTATCTGGAAATAACCACATCATAAATCAAGGAGCATCTATATAGGAAAACCTTATACTTGGAATGACATAATCAGATTAGCATTTTATTTATTTTGTGGTGCTAAGGACTGAACCCAGCACCTCACTCACACATGCTAGGCGAGTGCTCTACTGCTGAGCCCCCAGCCCCAGATTAGCAGTTTTTAAAGATTACTCTGGCAGTGGATAGCAGGAGAACCACTGAAGCCTGTTGTCCAGGCAAGAAATAATATTTGCTTGCATTAGGATAAATGGCAGTAGAAATGGGGAAAGATGGGAGAGGAATTATTGGGGTTGGAGATTGGAGTGGATGTGGGGGAATAAAGAAAAGATAAAGAATGGAAAACAGGAGACTAGGTTAAAGGTAAATTCCTGATTTGGGGCTTATCTTGCTGCCTTTCACTGATAATAATCCCTGGAGAATATTAGTTTTATTTGGGGGCAGTGGTGAAGAGATTATAAATTTGATTTTGTATATTTTGATTCTGTGGTACCTACAAGCTAGATAAGTGTTAGTCTGTAAACAAGTCAGGATGGCGCCTGGCAAATGTTAGAATCTGTAAACAAGTCAGGATGGCGCCTGGCAAATGTTAGAATCTGTAAATAAGTCTGGATGGCGCCTGACATTTTGCCAGAGGGAGTGGTTTGTGAAGTAACTCCAGCGAGCCATTAAGTGTGGAGATTTCTTATTGGTTGACTGCTGTATCTAGTTTATGTTAATTAAGATAAGCTGTGTGAAATGTATAAATACCTCTGTTGTCCTACAATAAATGGCTCCCACTCCTGCTGTATCAATCTACACAAGTTGTTCGTCACCCCCGATTATTTTGCTGCAGCTGGACTGCGGCAGATAAGGATGGGTTGTATAAGGAGTTGGATATATTAGTTTGGAGCCTTGGAGAATTCTGTGCTGGTCCTAAAAAGCCATTAGTTTCAGGGGTAGGGGATTCCATCCTGGAGGAATTCCAACATTTTTTTAAAATGAAAAGAAACCTGATGGATTAACTGAGAAACAGCAAGCCTAAGTATACTGCCATCAAGTGTTTCAGTGAAGGAGTAATTAACATTTGAAAACTATTAAAATAACAAGCAAAATGAGAATCCACTAGAACTATTGCACTATTTGTGTGACTCACACCATGTACAACCAGAGGAATGAGGAGTTATGCTCCATTTGTGTACAGTGTGTCAGTTGCATTCTGCCATCATATATAAAATTAGAATGTATTAATAATTTTTTAAAAAGTATGATGAGAATTGGTAACTGCTTAGTCAAGACTCTTAGTAGAACAGTGTCTTAATGGGGTTCCTACAACCCACATCAGGCCTCCTATTTTATAATTCAAGTCAAAAGTTAAGATTTACTTAGCTCTTACGTGTACCACGTCCAGAAGTTTATTCATGCCGAATCTTTAAGCACTGTGGATTGGATTACACTGACCAACCTCTAGATTGCTTTGTAGAGAGTACTTAACAGGTATAATGGGAAATTCTTTAGGTACTAGGCATCAGAAATATATTATTTCCAGAGATGAAGACCCTTTGAGATACTTGAAAGTTGTCAAAGGTAGAAAAAATAGTTTTCACATTTTAAGAGTTAGCATTGTCTTACTACTGCTCTTTCTGCCTCAGATTATGTGTAGCCTTGGAATATACTAGTAATAATCTTGGAGTACTGTTTCACCTCTCACTCACAAAGAAGTATTTCTTCTGCTTCCACTGGACTTGAAGACCTTTTAAGCTAGGCTTGCAGCCTAGCTCTGTGGGTAGGACCAAGGAGTTCATCAGAAAAGAGTACCTGGTTGTGTGTTAGATGTAGGCCAAGAAAGAAGAATCAGTCTGTAGTCTGTGCCGGCCAATATTGTATGCTTATTAACGTCGAGAGAGGGAATATATAAGTTTTAAAATATTTTTAAAAGTTTAAAAATATTTTTCATATCATACCTCTAGAAAACAATGGATGACTGGATTTGAATTTCTGCCTCACTTTTTCAAAATAGGTAAAGAGAACTTTAAAAAAAAAATTAGCTCTGTTACTGCTCAAATTCTAGCCCTATAGAACAAAAAGAACTTAGAGATAGGATCTTGGAGGATCTTAGAATTGTTTCCAATAGTCATTGAGAAGTCTGTAGGAATGGAAACATGCTGGGAGTTCAGGGACTTTTTAAGAGAGGCAAGAGGTTCATTTTAGTATTTAAAATCAATATGTTTGATTGCTGAAGGAGATTTAAAATATATTATTAAAAAAGTTCATTACCATATAGCAGAAAACAGCCATTACCATAGGTACCATATGTCTTTTCAGTGCTTAACAGCTGTTTCTCATACAAAATTATTGCAATATATCACCTCAAAGGCAGGAAATGTGAAATAATATTGTAACAACATTTTATTTTCTAGCAGTACCATATCAACAATGTTTTATGGACACTAAATTTTCTATTTAATGTACACAGTCAAGTTTCTATGTATTATCTGTAGGAGGAAGATGTAATTGGATTATTATGGAGCTCTTGATCATTACAGTATCTTTGTAGCAACAATTTTTAAACTAACCTTGGCATTGACTGGGTATAGTGGTGCACATCTGTAATCCCAACAACTTGGGAGGCTAAAGCAGGAGGATTGCAAGTTCAAGGATCTTGGAGGATCTTAGAATTACAACTTAGGCCCTAAGGAACTTAGTGAGATCCTATCTCAAAAAATAAAAGAGCTGAGGATGTAGCTCAGTGGCAAAGCATCCCTGGTTTTAATCCCCAGTACCAAAAAATAAATAAACAAACTTGTATTAAAATATGAAAGTGCAAAATATCTATACTATGTCTGCAACTAAAAAATTTTTGCTTATGTAAAAAGTTTAGCATAAAAGAGAAAAATGCTGAA